CTGTGAACTTGTTGCTGGAACTCAGAAGCCAAGTACATCATTTAACTTTTGGCACAATCATGTTGTGTAATAAACCACCTCAAAACTCACTGGCTAAATACAACAACCTTTATTCTATGGATCTATAGATAACCTGGGGCAGCTCTCCCTCATTCTGAGGGTCTGTGGGTTTGAGCTTTCTCCATGGCCTTTCATCCTCCCTGAACCAGAGGGCTCGCTGGGGCATGTTCTTTTTAAGGCAATGGCAGAAGTACAAGAAGAAAAGAAGAAACACACAAAGTCTCTTAAGGCCTTGATGAAAAATTGGCACCATCAATTAATTCAGCCCTGTTTCACTGATAAAAGCAAGGGGCCTGGGCCGAAGTCACAAGGCAGGGAAGTATGTTATGCCCATGCCAAGGCCATGATAATGATACACTTCCGGAAGACACAAAGAACTTCAGTCAATCAATCAATCAACTACTATCTACCTCCTTGGCCACATTTCACATCCCTCCAATCTGAAAACATTCCCATTCCCAACAGAAGACACTCAGAAGTCTCACCCAATCATGGTATCAGGCTGAACATTTAGGACTTCATGATCTACATCTGGTCCAGATGTGAATTGGACCTATGAACTAAAAAGACAAATTATTGGCCCATCCCTTCCCCCACATCCATACAATATTCAGTGGCATAACAGGGATGGAATAATCACAATAAACACTCCCATTTAAAAGAGGAAACCTGGTCCTTGGCAATTCTGAAATCCTTTTAGGAAAATGAGCCAAGTTCCCTTGCCATGGGAGTAAGACATGTTTCTTGATAAACCTTGGAAAAGGAGGCCAGCTAAGAGCTGTGGGATGAGGAGGATCCCTAGTTCCTTGTCCTGTACTGGTTCTGGCTCTATATTCTGAGACATTCTTTTCTATTACCTTCCTTATTTGCTTCTGAAGAGGATGTTCGAACTTACACCTTTTTTCCCTGATGGCTAAGTTTTCCCAGCCTGTTTCCTATCTCTAGAAAATTGGGGGCTCAGAGACCATTTTTCACTCCCAAACAGCTTCAGTCTCTTTTAGTTCAAGCTGGTAGTGCTTTGTCAATATCGCTTTCTCTACAACTGAGTGGATTTTCTATGTACTTGATTATAGTTCATTCCACGTGTCAAAATCACATTTTTTTTTTTCTTCAAGACCTGCTTCCCTCTCCACATTTAATTACTAGCTCTTTGGGCACATCAGATGGCTGGCTGTACTACCATGCCTTTAAGCTTTATAGGAGGTTTTGTTCAGCTGAAAGATCTACTAAAAGACACTGTGTAATATTTTTCAGTGTTGTAGCCACACTTCTGATCGGATCTTTACCGTAAGACCATGATTTCCTGTAAAACATCTGGTCTTTGTCTCTCCTGCTATGATTCAACAACCATGCCTTGGACTTGATCTTTGTCCACAGGCTATATCTTAACTTGAGAATATTTTTCTGGCTGGAGAGCATAAAGATAAGTTTTATTTTATAATCTGGTAACTTACGGGCTGCTTGCGAACTGTATTTTGAGGGAGGTTCTTGTTTTTCTTTTTGGCGGTTTGTTTTTGAGCATATCTCTTGCAGTACCTTTCTATATGTATTTAGAAGCAAACTACACATCTCTCAACATTTTTCTTGGAAACCATTTTCTCTTCTCTCATTTGCCCTTTTATTTGATTATGTTGCTCACTCCTTTGAGTGTTTATACCACATAACAAATCAGTGAGTGTAAAAGTCCTAAAATTTAGATACGTGGACATAGAACGTCCCACTTGTACCTTAAGACCAAATTTATCTGTACTAACCAATTCTTCTAGAACTCTATTGAGAGTCATCAAGAGTTGGCTCAGCCCTAAAGAAGTGATAGAGCAGGATTTGGATACTTCTAGGATTTTCAAAATCTTACTTCGTCACTTGGAAGGGCCACAGGTATAAATTCTACTGGTCTAGAAGTATCTGGAATAAAACTCTACCATTTATCAGCCCCAGTAAATGGTGGAATCATGGATTATCAGCTACTTAGTAGCAATATTAGATAGCAGAATGGTTTGGTTCTATCAAAAGCATGACACAAGTCACCTCAGGTTCATGAATGAAAGGTTCCTCCAAAAAGAGCTGACTACCAATTTTTTCCACAAAGGTTCTAGACCAATTTACAAAGTTTCTGATAGTTCCTAGGTCTATTAGTGGATGGATTAAAAATATCTGCAGCCCATTGCCCTCTACTGGGAACCAGTAAGTTCAAGGCTGTACACACTATAGGCTTTTGCAAGTACACATGAGTACTTCTCTATATATCCCACTGGTAGCAACAAGAGACTAACCTACCAAAGTACACAGCCTGTCTCCAATAAAGATAGAACTAAGCTTCTTACCACTGAAAATCTCTACATTAATTCAACTTCTAGGATGAGGCATATGGACCAAGACTATCTGGAATACAGAGTAATAGAGCTGGCTTTGGTGCTCAACTCTCCAGGGTCTGGAGATCTAACTGGAGACTCAGCTCCCAGTGCACCCAGACCTTCCATAAGTTCATGGAGACTGCAAACAGGAAGGCCTGACCCAATTCATTCCAAGGAAGGATCTGCAAGCCACTCAAAATTGACAAAGCAGAGCTCTTATTCCAACCCGATGGTCGGGCAGAAGGCCCTGACATATTGCCTTACACCTCACATATCAAACTTGGTACAGCTGGTGTATTTAGAATTTAACCTCCCTTGATGGGCAGACACAATTTCCTTCTGATGTTCTCCTTTGGGCCTAGCAAGAGGTTCTAGCTATAAATGTATGGTACTGCCCATGTCTAGGCCTGACCTAGGAGTCAGCTAACCACACACAGTTCTTGGCCCCAGTCCCCCAGAAGCAGGTGTGTCACTTCAGGTCCATTGATAGGAGCATTTTAGTTCAATAGGCATAGAAGAGGTATGGCAGAGGCAGTCAGAAGAGAAATGCTCTGAGCCCACAATAATCAGTCATAACTTGCATAGTTTTCCATATGTTAGAATTGTCATATGCACGTTATGTATATTGTTTCCTTTCACAGCAACCTCCACTTTCCAGAAAAAAATAAAATAAAAAAGGCCTTAGCTCAGAGAAGTTAAATAACTTGCCTCAGGTCTTCTAGCTGGGAGATGGTAGCACCAGGATCTGAGAGTAGGCATTCTGTTTCCACAGTCCCACTGCTATGCCCTGGTCTCTGTTATGCAGCTTGCCTCTGAACATGGGATTCCCAGGCATGATTCTTAGCCCTGAGGACAGAGATGTTAGCAGGCTGTTCCTTCATCCCTTTTTGTGGGCGCAGTCTATCTGGAAATTTGAAAGCCTATATTCTCACATGGATAGAGGTTTCCGCAGCCTTTCCTTGGAAGGAGACTATAGTTCTCAACCCACATATTTATTCTCAGAACCATTCTGAGCTGCTCATGGACACAAAGTCTATGGTGAAAATTCCAGATTTCTACAACTCAAAACAAGGCAAAGATGAATTCAATCTGGAAATTCCAATACCTGATCTGTGAAATCTGACTTGTGAGCATAGGCTGTGTACTAAAAGGAATTACTTGCAAGAGGTCTAACTGATATACTTAGATGGGAGTTTATGTCAAATACTTGAATTGTGGTTAAAGTCTTTCAAATACAATTGTAGTCATTTTTTTATAGTTGATTCTAAGCAGTAACAAAAAAAATGAGATTAATTGCTTCTCAAGACATCTTGTAGGCTGTGAATATAAAAATCTTATTGCCAAAAAAAAAGAGGAAAACTTTTTCTGAAATGCTGTGGAGTCAATTCAGCTGGAAGGAAAAACAGGAAGCCTTAATCTTCACTGTTTTACATCACTTAGAATTTAAATATTGATATGTTGAGAGATTACTCTAGTCACTCTTGGTTCTTAGAGTGGCACTGAAATGCAGGCTTTGTCAAAGCATGAATAGTTTAGAATCTCTGTTGAACTCACATGGTTTGGTCCAAACTTGATATTTGTCCCACATTTCTAATCTGCATGTATTCCTGTCTCAGTGGACAGCACTGTGAATACTAGAGACCTGGAATCAGCCGTGACTCCCATCACTGTCTCGTCCCTATATCCAATCTCTAAATCCTAATAATCCACTGATGTTAATAGCTTGAATCTATCCAATTCTCTCCATTGCAGCACCACCATAATTTGGGCCCTCAAAATCTCACATCTGAATTCCCAAAGTAATCTCCCAACTGGTTCCCTGACTCCCTCTCACTCCATTCTCCGCACTGTTGTTCATGTGATCTTTCTGAACTGTAAAAGGAATTCCACTCTTCGCTTGGTTCCTAGAGCTAAAAGCTCCTAGCCTGTGTACACAGTCCTCCCAATCTACTGCAGGCGACCTTCCTGCCACCATACATCACTCCAGCTACTTCAACTAACAGTAGGTCCCAGATGTCTCTTGCTTTTTCTTCTCCCCTCAAGCTTTTTGTTTTATTTTGTTGTTATGTGCTTAGAATGTCCTCTTCCCTCACCTCCTGTCCGCAGGGTGAGAGACAGACATGGAGAAGGGGAGCCAGAGCTGGAACTAGAGATGGATGTACATACACACACATTTTGATGTGTACAGAGCATGATCTAGAAGGACACCACTAAAACCGTTCAGGGCAATCCCTAAGGAATGGGGTTTCAGGAGAGATGTTAAGAGAGTAGTATTGCATGATGTACTTTTTACTTTTCTATGTTGTTTAGATTTGTTTTGTACTGAATATGTTTAAATTATCTCTCTATATTTTTAATTACATCAGCCCATCCTCCCCTCCAGAGATAATGATTCAATGGAAAAGGGTCCAGGATTCTGATCTTCTAAAGACTCCCACAGACTCTGTTGATCAGTTAGTTTGGGGAACTATGGTTAAAATGATTGTTTCCAATATAATAAAGCCATTGACTTTTTTTTTCTTCCTAAGGAAAGCTACAACTCTATTATACAACCATTTTTTTCATATTTCTTTTTATTTTGTACTACCTTAATTCCACTACAAATACACATTTTCTAAGTATATTTAAATTATAAGAATTATAATAGCCTTGGCAACCATTTTAACAGCCACACTTGAGTACAGGGCTTAAATAATTATTGTAAAGCATGTGTTTGTATAGCAAGTTTCATAAACCATTTGAAAATTAGGGCGAACAAGAAAAAATCTACAATCAGGATTTCTTAAGTTCTAAATTTTAACACTAACTTAGATATCATTTGGTTGACTCTCAAAACACTAGATAGTCTCAAAATATGAAGTAGAATGTTATTACAAATATCAACTTTGGTATGATACATACCTATTTCACTAAACATTTTTTTTAAGTTTTTGATTTTGGAAAAATATGAAGACGTAAATGTTTTTATAATTAACATCTGAAAACATCTATAATGCCCTAAAATTCAGACATCAAAGCATCTATTTCTTTAAACTTGTTAGTTATACTCTCAATACATTCCCCAGCTTTTAATTTTATCCCATCAATTACAAGATAGTCTTCTTCACAGTGGTTTTCGAACGGACTGCATGCAGAAGCTTCAGGGCTGCATTTAGATAACTGTAAAAATAACCATACAATTCATCAGAACTACATATAATTTACTTCAAGACGAGGCTAAATTATTTGAACAAAACAAAGTAGTCAGTAACTCCTCGAGCCACAGCCGTTACACAAAGTTTTCTGTTAGGCCCGTGGTCAAAGAATGATACCCATATATAGTATAATGTATAGTTAATGTGTCAGCATAATAACTTTTATTTAGGTCTTATCTCTAGTTCCCAACATTAGACATTTTCAGTTTTAATTTTATGCTTTGAAAAAAATGTGATCATTTTAATGCTGTGAGTTTTCCATATTTATTTTTTAAATTATTGTTATAGAGAATACAACTTAAAACTGCTTTAGTCACATCTTCTGTGGTCATCTTCTCATAAGCATCTTACAAATAGTGATGGTTTTCTCTACCTTAGTGGGACAGGACACTGGTAAAAACAATGCAACCATACATATACATGTAGGAGATTTATAACTCTGAGGTTCATTAGAGGTAGAGTTAACTTCCCATGAAAAAAAAACATACATGTAGTTTATACAAGTATTTTCACATATCAAAAATGTACTTTTAAATACAAATAATTATTCAGTAAACTCTGTCTTATTTATATATGTATATCTAATTTTTGAGTTATTCAGATCAATTTTATTAAAATCTGAAATTAATTTCCTCCCATTGCTTGCCAAGTTAGGGCGTGCCAATCAGTGTTAATATTAGCTAAAGAAGAACGTAATTAGGAAATTGACTCTAGTGAGCAAAATAATCTCATAAAGTATTTCAATGACAAATAGAAATAAATTTTGATTATCCATGTGTGTACGCTTTTTTTTTCATGTTGCTACTCTCATCCCTTGGTATAAATTCTTGAGAGAAATCAACTTGAAAACTGCTATGTGAAGTGAATAATGAAAACATTATCAAATTTACAACTTTGAAAATAGCTCAACACAATATCTGCTTCGAGAATAAACACACTCAGAATTTAAAATGATCAGGAGGCTCTTTAGTGTGTTACCTTATAAGAGGCAACTTTCTCCTAAAAACAAAATGCATCTCCTGTTTTAAGTGGAGTAACCTTTGGAAGCCATATTAATTTTTTCTACTAACTAAAAAAAAAAGAGAGAGAGAGAGGAAAGATATCCATGAGGTGATCATTTCTTTACTTTTAAACTGGAAATTGCTCCAGCTTTGAAAGTTGGCTTCATTGCTATTCTTTTCATTTAAAAGAGAACAAGGCCCTAAACATCGTGAACCTGGTGTGAATGCCAGACTTACAAAGCTGAGTATAGAGAGTGGCTTATAGTCAGCAGGA